AACTCAAAGCAATTCCTCTAAAATCAGGAACAAGACAAGGCTGTCCACTCTCTCCATATCTCTTCAATATTGTACTTGAAGTTCTAGCTACAGCAATAAGACAACAAAAGGAGATCAAGGGGATACAAATAGGAAAAGAAGAAGTCAAACTTTCATTATTTGCAGATGATATGATTGTTTACATAAGTGACCCAAAAAACTCCGCAAGGGAACTCCTAGAGCTGATAAACACCTTCAGCAAAGTGGCAGGATACAAGGTAAACTCAAAAAAATCAGTGGCCCTATTATATACAGAGGATGAAGTGACTGAGAAAGAAATCAGAGAAACATCACCCTTTACAATAGCCAAAAACAGCATCAAATATCTGGGGATAATGTTAACCAAGGAAGTGAAAGACCTGTATATCAAGAACTTTGTGACTTTAAAGAAAGAAATCAAAGAGGATACCAGAAAATGGAAATATCTCCCATGCTCTTGGATTGGTAGGATCAACATAATAAAAATGGCAATCTTGCCAAAAGCAGTCTACAGATTCAATGCAATCCCTATCAAAATTCCATCACAATTCTTCAAGGACCTGGAAAAAACATTAATCAACTTTATATGGAAAAACAAAAGGCCCAGGATAGCCAAAACAACCCTATACAATAAAGGAACTTCAGGAGGCATCACCATACCTGACTTCAAGCTCTATTATAGAGCTATAGTCCTGAAAACAGCTTGGTATTGGCACAAAAATAAGCAGGTAGACCAATGGAACCGAATTGAAAACCCTAATTTTAACCCACACACCTATGAACACTTTATTTTTGACAAAGAAGCTAAAACTGTACAATGGAAAAAAGAAAGCATCTTCAACAAATGGTGCTGGCATAACTGGGTACAGGTATGCAGAAGACTGCAGATAGATCCATGTTTATCGCCTTGTACAAAACTTAGGTCCAAATAGATCAAAGATCTCAACATAAATCCAGCCACACTGAAACTTTGAGAAGAGAAAGTGGGAGATACTCTCCAATGAGTTGGTACAGGAGACCACTTCCTAAACATAACACCAGTGGCGCAAACACTGAGATCGACAATTAACAAATGGGACCTCCTGAAACTAAAAAGCTTCTGTAAGGCAAAGGACACAGTCAACAAGACAAGAAGGCAGTCCACAGAATGGGAAAAGATATTCACTAACCCCACATCTGACAGAGGGCTAATCTCCAAAATTTACAAAGAACTCAAGAAACAAGTCTCTAAAACACCAAAGGATCCAACTAAAAGGTGGGGTACAGATCTAAATAGAGAATTCTCAACAGAGGAGGCTAAAATGGCCAAGAGACACTTAAGAAAGTGCTCAACATCCTTAGCCATCAGGGAAATGCAAATCAAAACAACTCTGAGATACCATCTTACTCCAGTCAGAATGGCTAAAATCAAAAACACCGAAGACAATTTATGCTGGAGAGGATGTGGAGAGAGGGGAACTCTACTCCACTGCTGGTGGGAGTGCCAACTCGTACAGCCTCCTTGGAAATCAGTGTGGAGATTCCTCAGGAAAATGGGAATTAATCTACCGCAAGACCCAGCAATTGCACTCTTGGGCATATATCCAAATGAGGCAAATTCATACAACAAGGGCATCTGCTCCACTATGTTCATAGCAGCATTATTTGTAATAGCCAGAACCTGGAAGCAACCTAGATGCCCCTCAACTGAAGAGTGGGTGGAGAAAATGTGGTACATTTACACAATGGAGTATTACTCGGCAGAAAAAAACAATGGAATCTCAAAATTCGCAGGTAAATGGATGGCACTGGAGGAAGCCATCCTGAGTGAGGTAACCCAGTCACAAAAAGACAAACATGGTATGTACTCCCTCATATATGGTTTCTAGAGAGTCTGGGAAACAGGAAAGAACCTAAAAGATATGCATATATGCATAGTACCCAAGAGAAGAGGATGGAGACAAGATCCTCTGAATGGATGGGGAACATGGTGAGGGGTAAGGGGGAGTGGGAGCTGGGAAGAAGAGAGGGGGAGAAGAGAAAGACAAAGTAGGTCATGGGGGAACAGGAAGTTGAGTGGGTGGGGGTAGAATAGGGGGAAGAGGGAATCATAGGTTAGAAGATGGATCAGGTACCAGAGTGACCTCCAGTGATCTAAAGGGATAACACCAATTGACAAGCTAAGTAATAGTGGAGAGACCACCTCGAATGCCCATTCCTGATAGTGAACTAGATGTCTATAACCATCTGGGAGCCTTCATCCAGTGGCTGATGGAAGCAGAGGCAAACACACAGTTAAACACTGAACTGAACCCAAGGAACTCAGTGGCAGAGAGAGAGGAGTGATGAGCAAATTGGCAAAGAATGGGCTGGCAAAACCAGCAGACACAGCTGATCTGAACAGGGGAGAGCTCTTGGACCCCAGACTGACAGCGGGGAGGCTAACATGGGACTGATCTGGACCCCCCAAATGTGAGTGTCAGTGAGAAGGCCTGGGCATCCTAAGGAGCCTTGAGCAGTGGATCAGTGTCTATCCCTGGAATACAAACAGTCATTGTGTGCCCATAGCACAAAGAGGGATGCTCTCTCAGCCTGGACTCTTAGGGAAGTGCCTAGACCCTACCTGGAGTGAAATGACAGACTCTAGATATCCCCTATGTGGAAGGAATTGGCAATAGGGTGGGAGGCTGGGGGGGAAGGGGAGTGCGGGAGGAGGGGAGGGAGAGGGAACTGGGATTGACATGCAAAATAAGCTATTTAAAATTAAAATAAAAAATGATAAATAAAAGAATGTACATAGTGAAACCCAACCCCCAGTAAGTATTATGAGCCAGAGCTTTTCAGATTTAATGAAGACTTTAGAGAGTGTTCTCATGGATGAGGTTATTGCCTTTATAATAGAGTACTGCTGAATCAAAGGCCTCAGCATATAATCAGATACACTGGCCCTTATAGAAGAGAAAGTGGGGAATAGCCATGGGCACAGAAAACAACTTCCTGTACAAAGTATTAACAGGACAGTTAATAGGACAAAATGGCAGCCTACAGAATGAGAAAATATCTTCATCAACCCATCTCGCAAAGAGCTAATTTCCAAAATACATAAAGAACCCAAGAAATTAGACATCAAAATAAAACAAATGTACAGATCTAAACAGAAAATCCTCACAGAGGAATCTCAAGTTGCTGAGAAACATTTAAAGAAATGTTTATCTTCCTTACCCAGGCAAATGCAAACCAAACTACTTTGAGTTTCTTAACCTGTCAAAATGGGATCACTAGCACAAGTGACAGCTCATACTGCAAGGATTTGTAGCAAGGAGAACACTTCTCCATTGCTGAGGGAGTGAAAACATGCACAGTCACTTTGAAAATCAATATAGCAGAATCTTAGAAAATTGAGAAACCTCAAGTTCCAGCTATACTATTCCTTCACATATACCCAAAGGACACTCCATCATACCACAAGGACACTTGCTCAACTGTGCTCATAGAAACTTTATTGATAATAACCAGAAACTGGAAACAACCTAGATATCCCTCAACCAAAGAGTGGATAAAGAAAATGTGGTACATTTATACAATTGATTGTTACTCAGCTTTTAAAAGAAATGACATCATGAAATTTGCAAACAAATGGATAGAACTAGAAAAATCATCCTGAGTGAGCTACCCAGACCAAGAAAGACAACCGTATTCACTTGTAATTGGTATTAGCTGTAAAATAAAAGATAACTATTCTACAATCCACAGATCCAGAGAAGCTAACTAACAAGGAGGGCTCAAAGGAGGGATGCACAAATCTCCCTGGGGGGGAAACAGGAGGTCTCAGATCAGGGGAGTACAGAGAGAGAGAAGTGGGAGAAAAAAGTGGAATAGGGGTGAGGAGCACGGGGAACAAGTTAGAAAGCTAGTGCAATGGAAATTCCCAGGAATCTACAAGGGTGACCTTAGTTCCTGACCATAGGAGGGATACAGAGCCTGAACTGGCCATCTCCTATAGCCATGCAAGACTTCCAGTGGAGGGACTGGAACACCAACCCAGTCACAGAATCTTTGATCTACAATTTGTCCTGCCTACAAGATATGCCGGATTGACCAGCCAATGACTGGTCCTGCTTGAGACCCATGCCATGAGAGACAGCCCACCCCTCACACTGCCTGGAGCACCAGGACCCAGAGCTGGATAGCCCAGAGACCTCAGATAGAACTAAACACAGCTGATAAAAATGAATAAATAAATTCAATTAAATGACTTCTAAGAATATTCTGCTATATTCATATCTTGGTTCCTAGCCCAATTGTCACCAGAGAGGCTTCAACCAGCAACTATTGGGAGCAGATACAGAAACCATGGCCAAACATTAAACAGAGCTAGAGTAACCCTGTAGGAAACAGAGAAGAGAGGTTATAAAAGTTGGAGGAGTTGAGAAAAGCATCAGAGTATGGCCCACAGAATCTACTAACCTAGGTTCATATAAGTTCACAGAGACTAAGCCAACAACCAGGGAGACTGCATGAGACTATCCTAGATCCTTTTCATATATGAGACATTTGTGTAGTTTGATCTTCTTGTGGGACTCCTAACAATGAGCACAGGGGCTGTCTCTGACACTTTTCTCATACTGGGTTGCTACTTCCAGCCTTACTATGAGGGGAGGTGCCTAGCCTTGGTTGGTTTATCAATAAATGAAGATCCATTCCAATACAAAATATTCATTTCTATACCATAATCTCCCTTTTACCTTTAAAAAGAGATTGGTTGTGATGATTAACCATTTGTAACCAACCCCATTTAATGAAAACGAAAATTGATAAACAATATTTGGGAATTTGGGCATTGTTCATACCAAACTGCTTCCTGCTGGTTGGGGGCGCTATCCACACAATGGGGATCATGACAAAACACAGAAACCTAGCTAAGTCCTTGTTTTTTGTAGTCTGCAAGGCTGCATCATCTCAGCTGTTTTAGGTGTTGGATCACCTGGGCCACTGCTTCCGGAGGTCTTGCTTCTATGAAACCATAGAAGTCTGGAAGGAATCCACAGCTTTTCGTTTTCTGTGGAAACACAAATAAAATAACATATCCTTATACTTAAATTTTGAAGTCAAGGCATTTTCAAAAGATATAAGTTGGATTAATTCAGCAGCATTTATACTCAAGTATATTTCAGCAATTATTCCTTCCTTAGCAAGTGAACAACTGAAAAACACAATAGCATACAGTATCCAGACTCTCTGTGTATTTTCCATCTTTACATGGCTTTTTTATTTAATCTATTAATATTACTCTATTTCTTTTACTTTTATTTTTTTCTCTGAGACAGGGTTTCTCTTTGTAAATCCACCTGCCTCTGCCTCTGGAGTGCTGGGATTAAAGGTGTGTGTCACCACAGTCCAGCTTCTGTATTTCTTTTACAACTATCTTGTTTCTTTTTCTCTCCCAAGTATATGTATATTTTTAAACATTTTAGAGGTTTTACTTTATCTGAATCTGACTTACTGTAAGTCTTTATGTTTTTCTGGCCATGTGTCTTTTATTTTTACAGAAACAATCATTCTCATTTATTTTTTTATATTTAGGTTAGAAACAATCTTGTTTCATATGTCAATCCCAGCTCCTTCTCACTCCCGTTCTCCCCCTTCCTCCCCACCAGGTACCCCAGTCCCCGACCCAATCTCCAGTCCAATTCCCAAGGAGGGTGAGGCACTCCATGGTGGATCTCCAATAACTGTCATTTCATCCAGGGCAGGACATAGGCCCTCCCCCAAGAGTCCTGGCTGAGAGAGCCTCCAATATTGTGGAATGGGCACTCAAAGTCTATTTGTGCACCAGGGATAAATACTACCCAAGGCCATGTGTCTTTTATCTGCTAAAAAAAACACGGCTGTTTTAACTGCTGTCTTTCCAAGATGGCGGGCATAAGTTTACTGCCAGCACTGGCCAGGCAACTATGCTGGTCTCTAGCAAAACAGAGCCCACCTGAGAAAAATGCTGCTACCAAGAATCTTGACCAAATGGATCATCTTGCCATGTCAACGGCAAACTCCATAGCAAGTTTCTTCAATGCCCATCTTCCTCTCAGATGTAATTGGTGTGCCAGGAGCAGTTGTGTCTGTCATGAAATCCCATAAACCATTTTAAATGCCATACCTGAAGAAGAGAGGATAACTATCAAAAGGACCATCAAACATACAAGAATCTAATGTTTGGTGTCAATGTCTAATTATCTTAACCTTGTACTTACAATATGTATTTCTCTTTATTTCCTAGTGCTCTTTTGGTCCCAATTCACTTAAACCGAAGCTGGCTTTGGAGTTGGATTTGGCTCTCTTCCTCTAAATACAACTGTGTTGGTTGGTAAAATAAAATTCAGAGTTTCTATATTATATCAAGGAGCCAATTGATGTAACACAGAAGAAAACAAAACCTAGGAACTGTCATCTGCTTATACTAGGTTCTTTCTCTGAAAGTCTGATTTGCCTCATACTTACCATCTTCCTTATTATTGCCTTTCCCATTAAGCATACATATAAAAGTTGAAAATTTCTCTGTTGACATTAACATTGGGTTTTCCACAAAGAACAAGGAATTTCCTAACAGCAATCTTCAAAAACGTCGGAAAGAAAATGGGGCCCGCACAGAACGGGAAAAGACATTCACTAACCTCACATCTGACAGAAGACAGATCTCCAAAATTTACAAAGAACTCAAGAAGCAAGTCTCCAAAACACCAAAGGACCGATTAAAAAGTGGACTACAGAACTAAAAAGAGAATTCTCACTAGAATAGTCTAAAATGGTTGAGAGACACTTAAGAAAGTGTTCAATATCCCTAGCCATCAGGGAAATGCAAACCAAAACAACTCTGAGACACCATCTTCCTCCTGTCAGAATAGCTAAAATCAAAAACTACAATGACAATTTATGTTGGAGAGGATGTGGAGAAAGAGGAACACTCTTCCACTGCTGGTGGGAGTGCCAATTCGTACAGTCACTTTGGAAATCAGTATGGAGATTCCTCAGGAAAATGGGAATCAGTCTACCACAAGACCCAGAAACTCTACTCTTAGTCATATACCCAGAAGATGCACATTCATACAAGGACTTCTGTTCCACTGTATTCATAGCAGCATTATTTGTAATAGCCAGAACCTGGAAGCAATCTAGATGCCCATCAACTGAAGAGTGGATACAGAAAATGTGGTACATATACACAATGGAGTACTATTCAGTGGAAAAAAAACAATGGAATCTTGAAATTTGCAGGCAAATAGAGGGCACTAGAAGAAACCATTCTGAGTGAGGTAACACAGTCACAAAAAGAGAAACATGGTATACACTCACTCATATATGGATTTTAGACATGAATCAGGGGAATGCCATCAAACAACCCCACTGCCAGAGAGACTAGGAAACAGAACCTTCATCCAGCAACTGATGGAAACCAAGGCAGACACCCACAGCTAAACACTGAATTGAACTCCTGGAATCAAGTGACAGAAAGGGATAACTGATGAGCAAAGGAGTTAATATTGGACTGGTTTAACTCACAGAAACAGTTGACCTGAACAAGGAGGAACTCATGGACCCCAGACTGATGGCTGGGTAGATAGCATGGGACTGATCCAGACCCCCTGAATGTGGGTGTCAGTGAGGAGGCCTAGGAAATCTATGGAGCCTTGGGTAGTATTTATCCCTGGCATACAAATGGATTTTGGCTTTCCATCCCACAATGAGGGATGCTCTCTCAGCCTGGACTCTTGGGGGAGGGCCTAGGCCCTGCCCTGGATGAAATGACAGACTCTGGAGATCCTCCATGGAGGTCCTCACCCACCCTGGGGATTGGAATGGAGATTGGGTGGGGAACTGGCAGGCCTGGTGTGGGGGGCTGGGGAAGAGGGGAGGAAAAGGGAGCTGGGATTGACATGTGAAGCAAGCTTGTTTCTAACTTAAATTTTAGAAAAGGGTAGAAAAAACAGAGAAAGTGTTCAACATCCTCAGCCATCAGAGAAATGCAACTAAAACAACTCTGAAATACCACCTTACAGGGGCCAGAATGGCTAAAATCAAAAACACCAAAGACAGTCTATCCTGGAGAGGATGTGGAGAAAGAGGAACACTCATCCATTGCTGGTGGGGATGCAAACTTGAATGACTATGTTGGAAATCAGTATGGCAGTTTCTCAGGAAAATGGAAATGAGTCAAGATCCAGCAATTCCTCTCCTGGGCATATACCCAAAGAATACACATTCATATAACAAGGACATATGTTCAACTATGTTCATAGCAGCATTGTTTGTAATAGCCAGAACCTGGAAGCAACCTAGATGCCCTTCAATTGAAGAATGGATTGAGAAAATGTGGTACATTTACACAATGGAGTACTATTCAGCAGAAACAAAAACAATGGAATCTTGAAATTTGCAGGCAAATGGATGACATTAGAAGAAACCATTCTGAGTGACATAACCCAGTCACAAAAAGACAAACACGGTATGTACTCACTCATATATGGATCAGGGGAGTGCCAGCCTACAATCTCACTGCCAGAGAGTCAGGGAAACAGGTAGGATCCCAAGAGAGATATGCATGGTACCCTAGAGAAGGGGAATGAGGCAAGATCTCCTGAGCAGATTGGGAGCATGGGGGGAGGGGAGAGGGAGCCAGGAAAAAGAAAGGGGGAGAAGAGGAGGGGAGAGGAAGGCATGGGAAAGCAGGAAGGTTGAGTAGGGGGAAGAATAGAGGAAAGCAGGATGAGAGATACCATAATAGAGGGAGTCATTATAAGTTTGAGGAGAGATCTGGCACTAGTGAGATTTCCAGAGATCTACAAAGATGACACCAACTGACAAACTAAGCAATAGTGGAGAGACTACCTTAAATGCACCTCTCTGATAATGAGTCTGACTACTTCCTTATATGCCATCCTAGAATCTTCAACCAATTATGGATGGAAGCAGAGGCAGACACCCACAGTGAAACACTGAACTGAGCTCCTGGAATCCAGTGACAGACAGGGAGGACTGATGAGCAAAGGGATCAAGATTGGATTTGTTTAACCCACAGAAACAGCTGACCTAAAGAAGAGGGAGCTCTTGGACACCAGACTGATGGCTAGGAGGCCAGTAAGGGACTGATGCAGACCCCCCTGAATGTGGTTGTCAGTGAGGAGGCCTAGGCAATCTATGGGGCCTTGGGTAGTAGATCACTATTTATCCCTGGCATAAAAATGGACTTTTGGTGCCCATCCCACAATGATGGATGGTCTCTCAGCCTGGACTCTTGGGGGAGAGCCTAGGCCCCTGCCCTGAATGAAATGACAGACTCTGGATATCCCTCATGGAGGTCTCACCCTCCCTGGGGTACAGAGTGGGGATTGGGTGGGTTGAGGAGAGAGTGTGGGAGGAGGGGAGGGGAAGGGAGCTAGGATTGACATGTGAAGCAATCTTGTTTCTAATTTAAATAGAAAAAAATCTAAAAAGAAAAAGAAAATGGTATCCCACATCATTGACTCCACCTGACAAGTACCATCCTGAAACCGTTTTGGGACTACATTGTTCTACACACCTCCGGATCAATGAACTAACATGGTGCACCTTCTACAATCTGGCCAGAGCCTTAGACAAGAGCTTCAATCAACACTAGAACTTCAGTCAAGAACTTCAATCAAGCATCTCCCACCAACAGAGACTGAGTACAAATGTTGTAGTTAGTACACTTGAGACTTTCACTACACTAACATTTTCTTCCTACAGGATCCCATGAGGTTGTCATCATCCCATCTCATCAGGAAGTAATTTCAAAAATACTATGCCCCCTTTCCCTACTGTTGATATTGCAGGACAGTTTATACCTGTTAGGGTTAGTTTTCAATTATTTAGGGTTATGATTGGAAGGAGGTGTTCAGACTTGGACATCCCTTTCAGATAAGTTTAGGGTTTAGATGGGATAGATATACTTAGGATAGGATATAAGCAGATTATAATTTGCTTATCACCTTCTATGTATATATGCTGTATATGTTTGAGTTTTGTTTCAAGTCTAAATCTTTTATTTAGACTAAAAGGGGAATTGTACGGGAGATCTCACATACCTGAGGTACTGACTATGCCCATTTGGGGTGTGGATAGAGGGATGTGGTAAAGGCAAGGGACATAAGGGGGAAAAGAAAGGGAAAGCTCTCTCTTGGATCCCAGCTGAGGTTCAGAGACCATAGAGCACTGACCCAATTCTCAGTTTTTCATGTAACTTACTTCTCTCTATCTTAATAAATATCCAACTACCTTTTCCCAGCATTCTTAGTGTGACTCATTTTCCCTTCAAATTAAATTAAGAAAATAGTGGATCTGTATAGCTAAGCTAATGATTTTGACAGAAATGCCAAATATATTAGATAAACATACATTGGAGGGAAAAATATTGCCTCTTCAACAAATGGTGTGGGAAAACTAGAATCCACCAGAAGAATGCCACTTAGTCCACATTTCACCCTGAACAAAAATCAACTCCAAATAGATAATCTGGGGACCTCAAGAACTCAGGAAATAATGCTGAAAACTGATGAACAGGATTTCAAGAGATTAAAGAGCTTCTGTGCAGTAAATAAAATTATCACCAGCGTGAAGGGACAGCCCACCAAACATCGGGGAAATCTTTGCTAGATATATACTTCTCTAACCATTAATCTTGGTTGTCAACTTGATTTCATCTTGTTCAGCTCAAAGACAGGCATCTGGGAATGTCTGTGATGTTATTTCCCAGGAGGATTTACTGGAAGATCCTCGCCCCAGAGTAGGCAGCACCTTCTGGTGGCAGCCAAGATATAGCAGGTCTAAGGGGAGAGCTGTAGAGTCTGCATTCACCTTCACTCATTGCTGGTATCAGCATCCACTCTGTTGCTGGGGCCATCCTTTGCTGATCCTGGAATCCAGCTTCCTCAGTCTTCCACCATGGAATGAAGACCGTGTGACTCTCCTGGGATCCTTCATGTAATCAGCTCCAGATTGAGAGCATCTGGGGCAATCAGAGCATCCAGCAGCATCCAGCCTCGAGGACAGAGCAGCTACCACATTTTCAACCTTTGCAGTATACAAACACCCATCACCGTGCTACCTAGTGAATCTCAGGAGACCCTCTTTATAATATGTACCCATCTATTCATTCTACTGGTTCTGTTCTTCTTGAGAACTATGGATAATACTTAAAAAGCAGAAGAGAAGGAAGAAGATTATAGGTGAGTAAAGGGGGTGGGGAGAGGAAAGTATAGGGGTTAAGATGGCCTATCATATACTTGGAAGAAATTGCCTTTTGAAACTCAACATATATGAAAAATAAACACCAATTAACAAAACTTTTGTGTGTATGTGGTTTTTAGAGACAGGGTTTCACTGTGTAGCTCTGGCTGACAGGGAACTCCCTCTGTAGACAAGCTAGGTTTTGAACTCACAGAGATCCCCCTGCCTCTACTTCCCAAGTGCTGAGATTAAAGGAATGAGTCACATCTCCTGGCTTCATTTTTTAAAACTATTTATTCATAAGCTACAAAACACTAAAACACCTCTCCAAGTTCTTAATGTGACAACAACATATCCCTAAAGACCATTCCGTGTAGGCTCTGACTTTTAACTCCTTTCTCCACAAACTATCTGAGATCTAATAAAATGTTCTTGCCCCAAAATAACTGCTGTGAGAAGATCCTGTGTATGGCAAAAAGGAATTCTGAGAGGCAAAAACACTGATATCTCCTCCTTGTTTTTCAGAAGAAATAAGGGGACCCCAGTATGTTTTCAGAGCCTCAGAAAGACCCGAATGCATCCTTGTGAGACCACTTCCCCAACCATGTTATTCCCACCTGCCACCCACGAAGACCAGTGAAACATGCTGTTTGGCCTCTTCTAGAACTTTCAGCAACACCCCTGGGATGAGGTTGAAAAGTCCCGGATCTTTTGCACAGAGGTTTTTGCACAGTTCTACGATGTGTCTTCTAAAATGACATGACATGACTACACATGAGCTGTTCATTTAGACTACCACTGACCTCAAGAGTAATTCACAACCTGCAAAAGATAAAGGGGCACCTTTCTGGGAGGGAACTGCTCCTTCTGTCTTCCCTTCCACTTATGGCCCTCAGGCAGAAGAACCACATGCCACTAACAACCTTCAGACCAAATAAATACTGGAAGGTTACCATTGTTACTACAAGGAACTGGAAGTGTTGACATGGGGTAAACAAGCTGAATTTACCTCCTCTCTTTCCCTAGCAGTTCAAAACACTACCTGCCTAATGGCTAGAGCTGTATCCTGTATATCCTGTTAGACAGGGGAGACTCAATTGCTTCCTGATCAGAAAGCCAAAAAAAATAAAAATTAAAAAAGCCACATAGTCACATTTCCCAGCAATACAGCGATGAGCAACAAAATTACACTAGTTTGAAGTGGTATGCAATTCACTTTAGATATGTTATTAGCTGAATATAAAGCCAGTGGTTTAAGAATTAACCCATAACTTGAAAGACATAAACTTCCTAATTTTTATATTATCAGAGTTTATAAAGCCAATATGGCCCTGCTATACATTTCAATGACCAGTTGGGCCAAAATATGTTTTAAACAATTAGCAACATGCCTGAGTTTCCCAATGGAAGGGAAAAAATGGGGCAGGAAGAAAAGCAACAAGCAACACAAAAAGAAAAAACAAGGACAAGCTGGCACTCTGGTAAACTAATGAGTTTTTAGCCAGCAGGAATCCCTCCAGGTACTTTCAAGATTCCTTCCCTGGTGTGATTCCCTTTGGATTTAATCTACATGGGACCCCATTGTCTAAGTATAAGTGTATCATCAAATTCTTCTATACAAGTGAAGCTACCTGCTGCTTCCCACATGTCCCTTTCTTGCTATCCAGAGCAGAACAAGTCACAAAGCCTGTATTTCCTAAGAGATAAGACTTAGCCAACTAGGCCAACTGCAAGAGATGAGAGGGACTAGTTTACAGTTGCTGGTAACTGTAAAGGGAGATTTACTCTTTGTTTGTTTTAAGGGAACATCTTAGCTTATATAAAGTTGGCCTGGATTTCAAACTCAAGCAATGACACATAGTACCTAAGAGAGTAAACTTTGTTAAGCAAAACTGGAATCTGGCTGGTTCTGCAACTTACCAACCCACAGGACACTGAGAAAATATCCAAGTGCTGAGTACTGTGGCATTGTCAAAGTGCTGAAGTGAGATTAACCCATTCACTGCTCCAAAAGGCCCTATAAATGAGGTGATGATATAGAAAGAATATGGCAAGATAAGTGGTAAGAGCTTGTAAATTAAATAATTGGAAACTAGTTATCCCTGATATTTAAGCTACACTGTTAATCATTTCATTGGTGGTTTTTAAATTTTTTAAATAATCCACTGTAAGAAATGTAACCAATGTCAAGAAGTGTGGTTTTAATACAACCCATTACACAAATACACATTAGCTTAGCTATTACATGCATACTATTTTGTGTATATTTGAAACTAAAATTTTATGAAGTATAACTACACTTATCTCATGCAGTGCACCAGTTACATCCCACAATACTATTTAAAACTGCTACTGAATCGAAAAATATCTAATGAGCTATGATCTAAAATTTGAAAAACACCTATTTCTTTTGACCATCATAGGAATTTTAGTAGGATTAACTAATACAATATTTTCACAGCACTCAACATGACCACCATACATTCCACATAATCAATGCATGTTTATCTTGAAAATTAGCCATAACTATGAGGAAATGGGGTAAACCCTGGCAGGGCTCTAAATAAACCTATTACCAGTGAAGGTCTGTCCTTGGCAAGAGAGTGGGAATTTCCCCAGTAGTTTGAACCTGTACTTCGGTGGAGTCCAGTTCAGAAAGAGAACTGTGTTATAGTTGATCTGGTTTCTGCTTCTCAATTGAAAAAGCCCAAATTACAAGCTACTACGCCTGTCTGCCAAAATCCTTAGTCGTTCCAACTTATTGCTAGGTCTGTGTTGACATCCTCCCTGATGCAGCAGACATTGACACATACAAAACTGATCAAAATGAGTCTTGCTAGGGAGAAATAATCATTTCCTATCAAAACGCCTTCAATTTGCCAAAACCTGCTGGTTTAAAACAATTTAATCTTATTAACTCATAATTAATTCAAGAAGTCTGGATAAGATCAATTCAGGCAAAATCAAGGTTCAACAAGGGAAGCCTTCATAAATGTCATAAGGGAGCATCATTGATTTGTCCCTCTCTTTTCTGGAGGATACCTACCCTTCATGTCTCAACACCTTTTTCCTTTTTCCGTGCTGAAAGCCAGCAACGGTGGGTTGATTTTTTTTCACATGGAATTACTCCATCTCTGACTCTGGCACTTTTCATACTCTCCATCCCTAAAGGACCTTCGTGATAACATGAAGTTCACCGGAAAAACACCAGATAATCCATCTAAAAGATTCTTGACATAATCACATCTCCTAAAACCCTTGCCCAGTAAAATAAGAGGTTTGAAGGATTCAGAAAGAAACATCTTTGGCTAATTTGGGAGAATATTTAAGTGACTATTTTGCAAAACTGATGATGAATCACACAAAATAGTGGAATGTATAGCAACAACAATAACATAGAACTTACCAAACATTTACTATGTGGCAGGTGATCTATTCAAGGCTGTGCTTGCCCTCACTCATTTCTCTGACAAGAAATCAAGACTAAACAATATGTGATTAAGTAAGTTGCTCAAAGTTACACAAACAGCAGATGACAAACCCAGGCCTTCCTGACAACAAAAGCCCTGCTGTCAACCTGCATGGGTCATTGCACACAGTTAGGTTCCAAATATGTGCTCATTTAATCATACAAAAGCTTTCTGAATCACAATTCTTTTATTATTTTTCAAAAACAGACCTTATCCTGAGCAAATTAACTTATTTAATTAAAATTATATGAATCAAAGACAAACTTCCAACTGAAAGATTTTGCTAACCTCTTTAAATTTGTTGGGAATTACATAGTTCCAGTCCCAAATGCAACTTAACATTTTGTTTCTTTAATTTTGCATGTATTTACTATGAGAGAAAGTAAGCAAAACTCTCTACTAAGAACCCCAAAGTACCACACTTCGCTGGAACTCAAGGTGAACTTTATCATCTTCTACTTCCTCCACTATATTCTCTTCAGACCTTAGATCGGCTCAGGCCACCTCGGTGTGTGAGGGGGTTAGAGAACAATCTGGGGAGCCAGTTATCTCTCCTTCTACCATGTGAGTCCCAGGTCTCATACTCAGGTTCCCAGGCTTGGTAGCAAGTACCTTCACTCAGATTCTTTAACATATTTTGCATCATTTAGGAATAATGAAGACAGAACTCAAATAGACATCAAGACGTCTGATAAGAGTTAGATGTCCCAGGTTGAAATAATGACCTAAAAGTTTGAGAATAAGGAAACAGAAAGCCGTGGAAAGAATTAGGGAAAGAAACGGAGTCTAACTTGACTCTCAAAGAAATGCAAAGGTCAAATAAGCTAGAGTTCTTAAGAAAAGTGGTGTCAAGAAAGAAGAACAGCATGGGCAGGGATGAGCCACAGGAAGCTTGTTATGTATAAACAAAAAGGAGATTAGAGAAGAATAAATAAAATATTGAGGCTTTGAAAAGGGATAAATAAGGTTCAATTTAAGAAGGCATGAGGAGACATAACCTGAAAAGTTCTGGGGCAGGAGGACCTAAGATTAGGGAAGACAGTCATAGAATGGAGTTAGAGAAGAAGGTAGGATTGGAAACCAGCAATCTCTGTCACCTTCTGGGAACAAAACTATGTCACTAGGACACCTGAAAGAAGTGGAGAATATGGTTTTACTCTTACACCCTTTGGTTCCACTAATCTTTATAAATGCACATGTGTGAGCTAGAAAAATGTTATTACAAACATGTATATAAAAAGATTTTTATGGACCCACAGTACTATGGAATAAAACCAGACATCTTCTGGTGCCAAGTTGAGGGGACCAGGATAAATTAAAGTTTAGTCATACTCCTGCTACACTCAACAGCCTGCAAAAGCAATTCAGCTG